GAGTGTGTTTGTGTGTGTGTATAATGCAGAGTGTGTTTGTGTGTGTGTATAATGCAGTGTGTGTTTGTGTGTGTGTATATAATGCAGTGTGTGTTTGTGTGTGTATATAATGCAGTGTGTGTTTGTATGTGTGTATATAATGCAGTGTGTGTTTGTATGTGTGTATATAATGCAGTGTGTGTTTGTATGTGTGTATATAATGCAGTGTGTGTTTGTATGTGTGTATATAATGCAGTGTGTGTTTGTGTGTGTGTATATAATGCAGTGTGTGTATAAAATTATAAAAATCACAGAATTTCATAGCCCCAAGTTTTACCCACAACTTATCCACGAGGCATAGCATATTTCACAATTATTGGTCACAAAACTGCACCAGGAGTAACCTGGTCGGTCATTTGGTGTCTATGAAAAAGGAAAATACATTGATTTTTAACATTAGCATGTTAATTATTTTACGTGACACTTTAAAAAAAACAAAAAAACAATTAAAGAAGAAATCTACCAGAGAAGAAATCACAGCGAAAACAACACACAACAGAATCGCTTAGAGATATTTCATAGTGAACACACTCGGTGACACAACACAGTCATTATTATACGTAAAGTTCCAACCTCACTACTATTAATGCATAGTACATTTACTCAAGTAATACTGCATAGCAGAATGAAGACATTCTGTAGCAATGTGAGGCTGGAAATGGAAGGTGAAAACCTGCTGAAGCTGGACACCTGAGTGGGCATTCTATGAAGGAAAAGCACGCACACAGCGACATGCCAGTGGTAGGGGTGCAGTGGCACTTAGTGATATTCCAGTGCCAGGGGTGCACTCAAACGGTGACATGCTAGTAGCAGGATATCCCCACTTAGTGATATTCCTGTGGCAGGGGTGCACTCGCACGGTGACATGCCAGTGGCAGAATATCCTCACTCAGTCATATTCCAGTGGCAGGGGTGCGCTCTCAGCGGCGGGGCATGGCAGAGCGCACTCAGCGACGGGGCATGGCAGGGCACACTCAGCGACAGGGCATGGCAGGGCGCACTCACTCAGTGGCAGGGCGCACTCACTCAGTGGCAGGGCATGGCAGGGCGCACTCGCTCGGTGGCAGGGCGCACTCGCTCGGTGGCAGGGCGCACTCGCTCGGTGGCAGGGCGCACTCGCTCGGTGGCAGGGCGCACTCGCTCGGTGGCAGGGCGCACTCGCTCGGTGGCAGGGCGCACTCACTCAGTGACAGGGCATTGCAGGGTGCACTCACTCAGTGACAGGGTGCACTCACTCAGTGACAGGGCATGGCAGGGTGCACTCACTCAGTGACAGGGTGCACTCACTCAGTGACAGGGTATGGCAGGGTGCACTCACTCAATGACAGGGCGCACTCACTCAGTGACATGGCAGGGTGCACTCACTCAGTGACAGGGCATGGCAGGGTGCACTCACTCAGTGACAGGGCATGGCAGGGTGCACTCAGTGACAGGGCATGGCAGGGTGCACTCAGTGATAGGGCATGGCAGGGTGCACTCACTAGGGATCGACCGATTATCGGTTTTACCGATATAATCGGCCGATATTCGGTATTCTCGGCAATATCGGTATCGGCCAATTCAGATACCGATATTGCCGATAATACCTCCTATGACCGCCAGGCTCATTACAAGCCCGGCGGTCCTGGGGGGGCGGGCAGCAAGCGCTTACTCACCTGCCCGCGGCCGTCAGAGCGTTGCCATGGATCACCATGGCAACGCTCCGCGCGACACACTGGCCGCGAGAGTTGCACTGGGGAGCTGGAGGAGCTGCTGGCAGGTGAGTAAGCGCTTGCTGCCCGCCCCCCCCAGAGCTCAGCCAATACCACTGGACCACCAGGGACTGTCATATCCCCCCTCCCTGGCCATGTAACAAGCAGGGAGGGGGGACAACAAACAAAAAATAATAATTAAGTAAATATAATTTTTTTTTTTTTTTTAATAATTTAATAAAAAAATGCCCCCTCACACACTGCATTATATACACATACACTACACAAACACACTGTGTATATAATGCAGTGTGTGTTTGTATAGTGTGTGTGTTTGTATACAATGCACACAAACACACTGCATTATATACCCATACTACACAAACACACACTGCATTATATACACACACTACACAAACACACTGTGTATATAATGCAGTGTGTGTTTGTACAGTGTGTGTATATAATGCAGTGTGTGTTTGTGTAGTGTGGGTATATAATGCAGTGTGTTTGTGTAGTGTGGGTATATAATGCAGTGTGTGTTTGTGTAGTGTGGGTATATAATGCAGTGTGTTTGTGTAGTGTGTTTATATAATTCGGTGTGTGTTTATGTAGTGTGTTTGTGCAGTGTGTTTGTGTAGTGTGTATATAATGCAGTGTGTGTGTTTGTGTAGTGTGTTTATATAATGCAGTGTTTGTGTAGTGTGTGTGTATATAATGCAGTGTGT